TAAAAAAAAAAAAAAAAAAAAAAAAAAAAAAAAAACAGATGTTTGCAACCGTATGATCAGTTTCGTTATGGCTCCATGATGTGTTTAGACTTTGTTTTATTGCCCAGAAAATTAGTTATACTCTCTTTTTGCCTCAGAGTCAGAGCTAGAGCCGTGCTTACTTTATGCCAAAAAAACATTAGTCTAGAGCATCATTTTGAAAAATAACATATTTTTTTTTGATAAAATTGAAAATAAAACTTCATAATTACTCACTTAACTAATAAAAATATCTATATGAGTTAAGTTTAAGAAGCTAAAATGTCAAATATAAGCCATAACTGAAAAACAATTATTAGTTCTTAATTTCTTAACAATTTGTTAATTTATTAGTCTATTATTAATTCTTAATTTCTTAAAATAGTACATCAAAAGAACATAACATTATTGTCGATTTACCATCTTTTTCTATTACTATCATTTTCAGAAATTGAATATTTTATATTTTACAAAGCTTTTTATCTCATTTTTTCTCATAAATCACTATAATTAACTTCTTTCCAATTACTTTCTTATTTAGTTTTATTTGTTTGAACAATTTTATATGATTTTCTTATTATTAATAATGATCAGAATTTTATATATTGATAGAATGATGTTAGTTTCGTTTGCACAAGAAAAATTAAGTGGCTTAACTATTCTTACCTAATGAAAAATAAAATTTCAAATATTGTTTTTTGAAGTTTAGTCAATGAGTTTATAGAAGAAAAAAATGAAAAAAATGTGTAAAAGTATTATTTTGTTTGTTGTTTTTAAAACAATGATATGTGGAAGACATTTTTATGAATGAGACCATTTTTATGGTTATGTACATAATTGTGCTCTAGTCAGAGCCTTTGATATGACAGTCAAAGAGGAAAAATTGATTAGTCTCCACCAGAATATGTAAGGTGGTTGCTCACACCAATTTTTTAATAGAAGTTCTTAACCATTTTAATGATGTTTCCCCTAAATAACTTAACTTGAATACTATAAAATAGGTAATCCCCTAAATAACTTAACTTGAATACTATAAAATAGGTAATGTCCGAATGAATGGCAATTCCTTAAAAATAAGTTTATTTACTTTCTTTGCGGACATTTTTTCGAGAAAACTTCTTTGCAGACTGAAGATTCGCGTATTCATGGCATTTTAACTTTACCTTTGGACCTAAGTTCTCTAATTATTTTTCACAAAAAAGTAGTTCGACCTAAAAAATATATACTAAATACTATATAATATTCCATATGGCTCGGATCTTGTGACATTGCACATGTTGAAGGCAGCAAAATTTACGTTACTAAACGTTGCTTGTTTTGTATCTTCCCGATAATTTAATATGTAATCTTATATGCTAATAAGAGAATCACTGGGGAAAACACAAACACATGACAAATGAAGACTAAATATTTATTGAACTAGTTTGATTTATAATCTTAACATAAAAAATAACGAACGCCAGCTAATTACACATAAACATCTAGGTAGTTTTATTTTGTTCATTCAACATCTAATAATTTAATCTAACACCATCAACTTAATTAACAGAAGAAATATTTGTTCTTATGGTAATTGAATTCACTAGCAGAAAAAAGTTGTTTGGCAACTAAGACAAACCTATTGAGAAATTTTATAAAGTGGAGAGCGACCTAACGTACGATAGGCCTAAGAGCATGATTATTGCAGGTCCTTTAAGCTGGGTCTCTTAGCGTACAGTCCCTTAACTTTTAACTGAAAACGCTAAGGGACGTCCCTTATATAAGGGATTTAAGGGACGTCCCTTAGCGTTTTCAGTTAAAAGCTAAGGGACCGTACGCTAAGGGACCCAACTTAAGGGACATGCAATAAACATGGTCTAACGTACGAGTCCATAAAGACACACTCTACGGAAATAAAACAAATAATCTATTGCTACTTTCTTTGTCTACGCCTTAACTTCCGTGCCAAATCACAACTAGCTTTAAGAAGTCTCCTTACATTAGAAACACATTTTTTCACAACTCCATTACTCTCCCTATGATCAACCTTCCTCTTCCACCGCTGCTACAACCTCCTATCTCCACCGTGAGCACCACTTAAATATAGCTTCCGTCGTACCATATAATACATATGTTTTGAGATCTTTCCATCTATTTATCTATATATAAACGTAATAAACCAAGATTTTACGTCAAAAACCCCAAGATTTATCATTCTTTGTATATATATTTTCGTTCTCTCTTGACTCCTAAAAGAATGCCTCTCTTTCGACCAGTATCTAAAACTCATCCTTCTTCTTCTTCTTCAACTATCTCGGCACGTATGATAAATTGCATACTGCTTTCTGTTTTGATTTCCTTGGTCTACCTTCTCGTCTCTCTCTCGATACCAAGGCTTCAATCTAAAGAGACTATTAAAGGCTACTTCCTATCTTCTCAAGATCAATCTCAGAGCCTAACAAAGATCGATCACATCGTCTTTGGGATCGGATCAAGCACGAAGTGGTGGCCTACACGTAGAGAATATGTTAAGCTTTGGTGGGATGCTCAGAAGATGAGAGGGTGTGTCTTTGTTGACCGTCCCTTGTCCTCTTTGGATAATCACAGAGATTCTCATCTCCTTCCTCCGATTTGTGTTTCCGAAGATACTTCACGGTTCAGGTAACTTAAGCAAGCCATTAAAATAGTCAATAGTTAAAAGTAGGAGCAATTTTTTTTTGCCTTGTTGGGCATTTAGTGTTGTAACGCCTATTATTTTATTTACTAGTAAACGCTATATTGAAATAATATTATCGATAGCTTCTAATTTCTTTGTGTTTATGGGTTTTTATTTCTAGTAATTTAAACTAATATTTTTCACCAATTTTTTTTAACTAATATTCCACTATAAGTTATACTATGTAATTATAATTTAAATCCACTACATTCTAGAAAGATTTATATAGCTAATTATATATATTGATAATATAAACTAGCTAGATAAAAAAACAAATCTCAACTTTGGTTAGGACTTTGGAGATCCACGTAAACTCGACGATATGTTACTGTAATTGCACATACCTAAGCATACCAAAAAACATAATGAGGAATTCTCCAAAGTAGTATTGAAAATAATACCAAAATAGTGTTAAACCAGAGTATAAAATGTGGGAGCTCAGGTAAGTTTGTTCTTTTAACAAATCTAAAATTCTTTAATTAGAAAATTTTAATATTCATATTTTATTATTTAAATTTAAAATTTTAAATAGAATGTAACATGGTTTGACAAAAAAAATACTAAAACTAAATCGAGTCGGCCTATAGAGCGCTATTCATCATGCATGCCATACAGATACACTTGGAGAGGTGGTGACAAAAACGCAATTCGAATCGCGAGGAGCGTGTTAGAAACCGTAAGGATGTTCAATACCTCCTCAGAGGAAGTAAGATGGTACGTATTTGGATACGACAACACTATATTCGTCCCAGAAAACCTAGCAAGAACGCTCTCCAAGTACGACCATACATCATGGTATTACATAGGAGCAAACTCAGAGACTTATCACCAGAACTCCAAGTTCGGACACGACATGGCGTTTGGCGGTGGAGGGTTTGCTTTAAGCAGTTCGTTGGCTAACGTTTTAGCTAAAAACTTTGATTCTTGTATCGAACGGTATCCACATTTGTACGGAGGAGACTCTAGGATTCATGCTTGTGTGCTTGAGCTTGGAGTTGGATTGACTCATGAGCCTGGCTTCCATCAGGTTCTATAAATTTTAAATAATGATTATTTTAAACAAGATTTGATCAAACAATATTAATTTTTATTTATTTATTTAAGCAGTTTGATGTGAAAGGAAATGCATTGGGAATATTGACATCACATTCAACGAGACCGTTGGTGTCTCTACACCATGTGCCCCACATTGACCCAATTTTCCCAAACTCAACAACTTTCACCGCCATACGCCACCTCTTCTCCGCCGTAGAAGTTGATCCTCTCCGTATACTTCAACTCTCCGTTTGCTACGATCGTTGGTACTCTTGGACCATCTCTGTCTCTTGGGGCTACACTGTTCAGGTTACCTAATTTTTTTATCATTGGTTATTTTAATGAAATTTGCAAATATTTCTTTTATTGATCTCCAATATTATTGGCTAATATATATATATTGGCTAACATATTATAACATCCATATAGATCTGGCTAGATTATTTTTCTTTGGGTTACTGAGTTTAAGAGCTTGGGCCGGCCATAGTCTTAGATTTACATGATTTTGCATGCAACGTTATTATATCAAATTTTGTTGTTGTTTTAAATGTTAGATTGAGGGTAGGCATTTATATCTACGGGATGTATTGCGAACACAAGAAACGTGGAAACCATCCGGAGGGTTGGCAAGTGTGTACACATTCAACACAAGAGAGGTTCACCCTGATCCTTGCCAAAGACCTGTCACATTCTTCATGGAACATGTTTCATCTTCTCCGGGTGATGGAACTATTAAAAGTGTGTATAAGCAAGCTTATGAGAATTGCACCTATGATCCCATTTCATCGCCTCGCAAACTAGAAGAGATCAGAGTGTTTTCTAAAAGACTCGATCCTGATATCAGACAAGTAAGTCAAACTACCTTATCTTACCTTTTTGGAATATTTTATAAAAAAAGGGTCCGTTTTTAGATATTGATAGTAGGATGAATATCTTTGTAAGAAATATAACGGGTTAAATATCATATATAATCTTGAGTTTATGATTTTAATTATTATTTCAATTGTATGTGGTAGTTGAAGGCTCCGAGAAGAGAGTGTTGTGATATATTACCAACTTCTTCCACTGGTGGAAACGTAATGGAAATTGGAATTCGAGAATGCAAAGCGGATGAGTTGATTTATATACATCCCTAGTAGCAATTTACCTAATATTCTCTCCCTTTTTTTGTTTACATTATTGCTATCAAATTTAAACCTATATCTTTGCAAAATAGTTTTTAGTTATTTTGTAAGTTTAATATATTAAGCTGTTAATTTCATTACAGAATCAACTGTTAATTTCATTACAAAATCAAATTGTTAATCAGCTTGTTGTTTTTCAACATTTCGAGATTCACAGTTAACTATTTTTGATATATTCACGGCTCTAATCTTATACTATAGAGAACCTATGAATATGCAACAAAAGATTAAGTAAATATACTTAAAGTACGAGAACGGTAGAGGAGAGATTTGAATGGTAAGAAAAGAATCAGTAATAACACTTTTGACAAACACAAATGATCGATTATTCACCTGAATTATTCTATATCAATTTTTTTTTTTATATAAAAGGTTCCAAAAATTGATACTATTTTACTTCTGTCACAAGAAAAGAATCCAAACCCTTTAAAAACTAGCGTTGTTAAACACGGAAATGTTGAGTGTAATAGACAATTTAACGTGGGCCGAAATAAAGCCCATTGTAGGGAATAAAATGATTAAATGTTAATTAAGTTTTAATTAAGGAAAATGAAACTTATATATACATACGACTTTCCCACCATTTATACCTTAGCCTAGTAAGCATTGCGTGAACCCAATCTTACACTCTCACCCTCCGTAATCCCTCGAAATTACATCTCTGCCATCCACCTCCTCGATTCGAATGGAACCGACGCAATCGCCGTCGGAGACGGAAGTTCACTCCGGCGAAGACTTCGTTCACATCGAAGAACACTCCAAACCTATAGGCGATATGTCGTTAAGCGACAGTATAGTGAAGGTAGAGAAGGAGGACGCAGTTGAGGAAGAAGAAGAACACAAAGACTCCGATTCCGTCGGAGATGAAGCCGGTGGTGATGGAGACGGTTACGGCGGTGGTGAGTGTTCATCGGAGAAAGTGGAGTTACCGGAGGAATTGGCGAAAGGCGTTGTGATGCTGACGTGTGAGTCCAGTGGTGAAAGTGGATCTTGCGATGTGTATTTGATCGGGACTGCTCATGTTTCAAAGGTGTTATTGAAATTAGGATTGAATTGATTTTTGTAGATAACTTTGAAATTGCATAGGTTTTGGATAGGTTTTAGAATTTGATCTGAGCTTAGCTCTTTTGTTTTGTGTATGTTAGGCTGTGATAGAGTAGCGTTCAATCATGAGATAATCCTGCAATATCGTTTTGGTTACAGGAATCTTGTCGAGAAGTTAAAGAAATAATCAGCTTCTTGAAACCTGAGGTTCGTCGTCTCTTTACATATTTTTCACAGAGAGATGAAGTTTGGTATATTATGTTTTGGTTTAACTACGTCGATGATTATTAATAGGCTGTCTTTGTGGAGTTGTGTGCTAGCCGAGTGTCTATTCTCCAACCTCAGACTATGAAGGTTAGCTTTTTGCAGTTGTGATTCTGCTTCTTACTTTGCTATTTGGTTTACTTTTCACATTTTATGGCTATTTATCATTGTGTGAAGTTCTTGAAAAGAATGTGCATTACTGTTTCTTTTGGTCGAAGATGATAGATTTTGTTGTTGTTAACGATAAAGAGTGAGATCAAAGTTCCTTTATAAGTCTCAAAATAAAGGATTCGATTTATCAAATGATGCATGTGGTATGCGCTGTCTGCTGTAAATGAGTTTGCCTATAGGATGTACTTCACTTGTTTTATATGATATGCTTTGTTGATGATGTAATCTAGACCTTTGCTTATTCTGAATTCTGAAATGGTACTATGTTTTGCTTCTCTAGATTCCAACCATGTCGGACATGATTGAAAGTTGGAAGCAGAAACAAAACACGTTCGGTATACTTTATGGCTGGTTTCTTGCAAAGGCAAGTTTCCTTAATCAGTATACTTTTTCTTATAGAAGCTTTAACTTTCTGAACCAAAAATTTACAATCCTGTACTTCTGTTAGATCGCCAGTCAGCTTGAGGTTTTTCCTGGTACCGAGTTTCGTGTAGCATATGAAGAGGCTCTTAAATATGGGGGCAGTGTGATACTTGGCGATCGTCCTGTACAGGTTATATATTCGTCTTCAGTTTCAAAGCATTCTTTTAGTAATGTTATGCATCTAAGATGGAGTTATATTCTCTCACATAGTTCCAGTACATACTCATTTGATTTCAATGTTTTCGATGCAGATCACGTTAAAAAGAACATGGGCGAAGATGCCTCTATGGCACAAGGTGAAGTTTATATACTCCTTGATGTTTCAAGCTGTCTTCTTGCCAAGCTCTGAAGAACTCGACAGAATGGTAAGTTACCTGTTTTCTGTTCCTTTCTACATGTAATTTACTGTGATTCATCGTATCAAGTATTATCTCAATCTATGATAAATTTGGATCGCTTCAGCTGAAAGAAATGGACAACGTGGATATGGTGACTCTGGTGATTCAAGAAATGAGCAAAGAATTTCCATCTCTCATGGAAACACTTGTGCATGAGCGAGACCAGTTAGTATTCTCTAATCCATTAAGCTTGGCGCTGAAAACTGAAATAGGAGTGTTGGTAAATATAGAGAGGATTAATGGTGATTGATGGCAACATAAAATGAAACTCTCAGGTACATGGCATCTTCTTTGCTGAGAGTTGCAAGTGAGCACAACTCGGTTGTGGCAGTTATCGGCAGAGGGCATATTAATGGAATCAAGAAGAACTGGAAGCAACCTATAACAGTTTGTTTGTTGTGAAACATGTCTTTGACAATCTTATTTCGTTTTTGGATTGTGGTTGATTTCATTTTCATGGAACTTTTGCAGATGAAAGATCTAATGGAGATACCAAGCGACGAGTCAGTGTTTACAGTGAAGAGGATAGTATCATCAATGGCGATTGCAATTACAGGGACAGCTATAGTTACTGGCATACTTCTGTCAAGAAGAAGGTGAAGTAGATTGTGATGAAGGGCAAAGCTTTCTCTCTTCATTCTCCTGAGCAATACAAAAGGAAATGATACAAACTTTATACAGTCTTTACTCTTTTTTTTTGTATTTTCTTTTGAACAGTCAAATGTATCAACAATGGTTATATTTCACATAAATAATTTCTTTAATGCTTTTGGATCTTCTCGTATGCAGATAACTCTATCAAGAAAATGGCAATGTACTCAAACCAACTTCAATGTCATGATTCGTACAAGACAAGAAACAAAAACTAATATGTTTTATTTCTTTAAGGACCAAGATTATAACCAAATGCATACACACAAATCCGAAAAGGTCACATCGCAATCATTTTCATCCTTATTATTTTTTTTCACGAATACACACAAACTCCCACACACTAAAGATTTGCACCACTTAACTATTTGCAACGGAACATTGTCTTCTAACAACTCCTGCTGACCCAGTCTTGACATTGATCCGACCCATTTTCTCCATCGACGTTGCAAACTCTGAGAAGAAGCTCTCCACTGAACCTTTCAAGATCTGGTTTATGTTTGCGAGCGTTGTGGGGTTGGTGGTGAGAGCAGAGTCTGATTGAAACAGACCTCTACGCTTGAGAACGAGCTTGTAATAACTAAGATCAAACGTTTTACGGCTCCCTGGATCCATCTCTACGATGGTCGTGTTATCGTTGAGGCTAGGACATTTCCTGGACTTGAGATTGGCTGCGTATTGGCTGTCAAGGGCTGGATCTTGGTCTCCACGACCCGTGAAGTTGTAGAGACGGTTTGTGAAAGATGAGCAATGAGATACACCAATAGTGTGAGCCCCTGTTGTAGCACACCACATTTTTTTTAAAGAAAAAGCTTGAAACGTAGACTAAAATGTTTAATAATAAAAAGAACGTAGGCCAAATGTTTTGAGACAATATATTAGACTTTCTAACATGATTTTAGCAATGTGTGACCAGTGTTTTAAAATTCGGTTGCTCGTTTAAGTGGCAAATCGGCCGAAAATATTTTTTAAAAACAACTTTTTAAAAAGAAAAATGACATTTAGGCTCCTGTTTAAGCATTAATTCATTATGAATATTAGGGTTTAGGCTTTACCGGAGAGTAAGACAAGGTCCTTAAGATCAAGTCCTTGGTTTGCAAAAAGTGTCTGAAGATTGGTGAAGTTACTCGTAGGAGGAGGGATGTTAGCTAATGCCTCTGACGAGTTTGATATCCTCCCATCTCTTCTTCCGGTCGGTACACTCCAGTTTGGTCCTCCCTACAATCAGCACCGTCTTAAAAAATCTAAAGACCTTAGGCTAAATATAATATAAAGACCCTTTTATAGTATTTAACAAACAAAATGGACTTTGATAACTAGTAAAATAACACCTAAAATTTTGTTTGGACCTATAGACCCATGGCATTTGCCTATGTTGCCATGGGTTAGAGCCGGCACTGCCTACAATATACCATAATTTACGAATATGAAATACTAGAAAGAGTAATTTACAATAATGTTTTGTGAGTGTATATGATGCTTACAGTGAAAACGACGGCGTCTCGAGATGCTAGAGCGATAATATCAGCGCAAGAGACGATTCCAGGACACTGAGCTTCAAGAACAGTTTTGATTGCCTCGATGAAGCCAAACCCTCTAACCGTTAGGTTAGGAGTTGCGTCTCTCTCCGCATTTCCTGACGTCGAGTTTATAAGCACTGATCCATCACAACCCTGCACATATACATAGATCCATCATTAATTTAGTAGCCACATAGAATGTTATATAAAAGATGTAAAAATAGTTTACCCGAACAAAACAATCGTGGAAATGCATCCTCAAGAGAGCAGCAGCAAGAGAAGGAGCATTAGAAATGTGGTTTGAAACGAAATCTTGAACAATCTTTTCAGCGTTAGGACAAGTGTTGGCGTAGAAGTTCATCTGCAACTGAGCTTGGACTGGTCCAACCAACCCCACAAGAAACAGAGAGAGTGAAAGAGCAATAGTTCTCAAGCAACTCATCTTTATATTTAAGGTTTTTCTGAGACACAATGTATTTTTGGGAGGATTATGTTCAATGTGTGGTGTATTGAGACGTTAAATTAATGGTTTATATAGAACATTTTGAACGTTTGGTAATGTGTGTGGCTGGGTGCATGAGTCCATCTTTAGCTAACTAAGGCCATGTTTAAAGGCAGCACACTTGCTGTGTGCTTGGGCCTAAAATAATGCATTTTTATACAAAAGTGTTCCAAGATCACTAAAACAGGTCTTAAATAGGATCAGTGCTTGGGCTCTGTTCTAAGCGACGTGGCGCGTTGTTATTGGCCGAAAAATCAAAACTCTGGAGCTGAAGATCAGACGACGAGATTAATGCGATGAGAGGTTTCACGGCTCCGGCTCTAGCGATTTTGATCCGATTCTCGGGTTTGTTCCTGGACAAGAGGCGGATCTCCATGGCGGCTTGCTTTTGCTCGTCGACGGAGCAGGAGGAGTCGAGGTGGGCGACGAGGTGGCGGATGAGGTCGTCGGAGTTATCGGAGGCGCATGAGAGGAGGAGGCGGCGGCTCTCGGAGGAAGCGGAGGTGAACTCGCCGGATCTGTCGGAGTTGCAGTCGCTGAAGGCGGAGGAGTGGTCGTTCACGGTTAAGTTGCTGAAATTGCGGCCGAGGTAGGTGAAACCGGTGCTGTTATCCGACTCCATGGATGCAAGGGAGGAGAGAGAGAGAGTAGAGAGAGAGATCGAATCTGTGATTCGTATTCAAAGCCGATGATATGTTTTTGTTTAAGCACACTCTTAAACAAAATGATCTCCCTTTAACTATTTCCCATGTTCTTAGACAAAATATAAGACTTTACTAATATTTTAATCCTAAGCACACACTTTAGTGTTCTCCCTTTGAACATGCCCTAACATGTGCTCTTACGTGTTGTCTTTTATTTTATTTTTGTTATTTTCTGCCTCGTTGTTAGTGACATTCACATTAAAATTGAAAGATTTAAATCCGTAATTATTAACATAGGAAATGATTTTGCTCTTACGATTGAATAGATTGTGTTGCTACAAAAATAAAAAGATTGGATCATGTTTCGCCTCAATGTTCATAGAAAAGATTTATATGTTTGATTCTTGAAGATATTAATTTGGACATTTTAAAAAAGTATTCTCATTTTTTTCGAAAAAGTATTCTCATTTTTCATGTTTTTCCCTTTCTTCTAATTTTCTGTTTGATGAACAAAATAATTATATTTTCAGTGACTAATTATTAAAACGTGAATTTCAAATCCTGTGACTAACTATATCTATTTGTAGTGATGAAGTAAGGATTACATATGCTAAAATGAGGATGAATGTTTGGTCTATAAATGGAGCTTTAGTAAGTTCTAAGTAAAATATAAAACCAGAGCCAAGCTTCAGTTGATGGTATTAAGCGTTACAACGTCATAATCAACAAAAAAAAGGTAATTAAAGTGCCGACTTTGATATATATATATATATATATATTGTTATATCAAAATATATCCTAGTTGAACAATAACTCTCCTATGAAACAGTTGTTTCACTAATGAACAACGCGTTTCTGATATCACTGATCTTTCAAAATGCTAAAATTACAGTACTCGACCTAATCCCCTAATAATACAACTACAAGAACAGAAAAGAACAAATTACTAACGGGCAAGAGAGCATTCCACGATCACTATCATTGTTTTATATTTAATCATTCCTTAAGGTAATATATATAAGATTAGTTAAGGGAGTTGGTACTGATCTCGATTTCATATGCCGAGATATCATATGTTAATGTATAGAACATTAAACTAATATGTATTCCAACTTTACCATGTACATTCTTATTTGAATCTTTATGTTTTGTCTTAAACTGTTGTTGCTTATATCTTGATCCTATCTTTCTTTGTAAAATGTGAATCAGTTTTGAAACATTGTATTATAAGAAGCGGATAGCAAATTAGAACTTCTCAGAACTGCTCTACTGAATTAAACTATAAATAAACCGACGAGGAGATTAAAATATGACCTTAGTATAAATAAATATTTAACTGCTTAAGTAGGTCAAACATTGGCATCTTCTCAAATAAATCAAGTTTGTCGATATCAAACCTTCTGGTGCCGTTTTGTAAATATTGAAATATATGGGGCTTCATAAGAACTAGAAGATATTGGAGATTGATAAACATTGAAGTTACAGACATTTTTATAAATGTTAAAAGATCTGAGAAACTAGGATTCAGCAAAAAGTCTGAGAAACTTTTGAAAATAAGGAAAGATATGTAATAAATGTAAATACCGGAAGTTAAAGGAGAGTTTTGTAGATATTGAAAGTTATGGGGTAGTTTTTAGCAGATACTTAATTTACTCTTTATTTTTTAGATATTTTTAGCTGTATTTTTTATGTATTTGATTTTAAAAATGGAAATTTCAGATTTTTTTTTTAAAAAAAAATCAGATATTTTGTTTAGGTTTACTTTTACAAGGTTGTAGGTTTGTTTTGGAATTTAAGGGGAACTACAATTTGTTTGTGCAGGAATAGGTTGTAAAGAAAATATAAGTTGAGGGGGATGAGGAGGTTGGAGGCAGATGGTAGAACTTGAGAAGATGATGCAGGTGACGAATGTGAATGTGTGTAACACACATTACAAGCAAGTTAATATTATTTCAAAGTTTATACAGATTGCATTTTGTATTAATATATTTATTTTGAGGTTAGTAACATAGCATTGGTTTGAGGATACTATTTTACTAATGAAACTAGAGTTGCTATCTTAGTCAATAGCCTTTCTAAAGAGCAAAATAAACGGCAGAAAACTTTATGATCGTTGCAAATTTTGACTTTATATTAAACAAGAGTGAGAAACATCGTGGAGGCCTGCAATGTTCATCAGATTCTACCAAGAAACCGAGAATTTTTATTTTTATTTTTAATTTTGGTTAAAGGAAACATGTTCATATTTGCAAATTGGTATTATCTAAATTGGGAATGGAATTTTTCAAAATGGCCCTCCAGTGATCTATAAAAGGCTTGAGACTTTCTTATTTCACTTCATCTCTAAACCTAGCTTACTACTCAAGGAAGAAGAGAGACAATAATGACACTCAAGAACTTACTTGCCCTTGTGGTTCTTATTGGCGTTGTTGGAGCTTCCTATGTAGAGGCATATGAGAACTCAGAAAGTAACCCATATACCAGGGATGGTCTTTACCTCGGCTACTACCGCTCCAAGTGTCCACAAGTGGAATACATTGTCCGCCGTGTCACATATCAATATGTCTCTGCCAATCCAACTCTTGCTGCTGCACTTCTGAGGATGCATTTTCACGATTGTTTTGTCAGAGTAAGTTAATGACATGTTTTAGTACGTAATATGAGGAATGATGAGTGGACGGACTCACATCCTTTATATCGTAGTATTTGCTTATGAATAAAATACCGCGCCAACTCTTTTTTCTTTTTGTATTCATGTGCATTAATCAAAATAGGGATGTGATGGTTCCATTCTTATTACATCACCAAACAAGGATGCGGAAAGAGATGCTCCCCCTAACTTGTCATTGAAAGGCTTCGAAGTGGTTAATGCTGTCAAGTCAGCGATCGAGAGCGAGTGTCCTGGTGTTGTTTCTTGTGCGGATGTTCTTGCCTTGGTCGCTAGAGACGCTGTTTTAGTGGTAACATTTTGCATTCTACTTTGATATTCTCATTCCAAAATGATGGGTACGTAATAACTTATTTTGTTGGTTTCCTTTTAATAGATAAGAGGACCATGGTGGCCTGTTCCATTGGGGCGGAGGGACGGACGCATCTCGAATATTTCTGAGGCTAACTTACCATCTCCTTTTTCCAACGTAGATACACTGAAGAAGAACTTCTCCGACAAGGGTCTTAACACTAAAGACTTAGTTGTCCTCTCAGGTATTTCTATAAAAAGTTCAAATTAAAATATTTAGGGTACTTAAAGATATGATCAGCTGAATATAAATGATTTTTTTTGGTTAGGGGCTCACACCATCGGTGTATCTTCTTGCGCTCTTATCAACAGGCGTATCTATAACTTCACCGGCAAAGGCGACTTTGACCCAGCAATGGACCCTAACTACGTTAATATATTGAAGGAAAGGTGTCCGCCAACAGATTTTACGACCAGCGTGGATATGGACCCAACGAGTGCCGATAAATTTGACTCTCACTACTTCGACACTGTGTATCAGAATAAGGGTTTGTTCATTTCTGATTCAACACTTCTTAATGACTGGGAAACCAGGCTATACATTAAGACACAGGTGTTTACCCAAGGGTATTACTTCAACAGAGATTTCTCCGAGTCAATGGTTAAACTTGGTTCCGTCCAGATTCTTACGGGGAATCAGGGTGAGATCAGGAGCAGATGCGATCTCGTTAACTAATTTGGATCGGTTTCGGTTCTCCTCGGATGATTGAAACCCTAAAAAGCAGTATGTTTATTATGTTCTTCTACTATTTATTTCACCAAGTTCTTTCTCCACGGAAGTTCTTTATCATTGAATTTCGAAAATGTTATTTTTATGTAAGTCATGCATTTCTTCCTTTCACAATGTTATCTAATAATGAATAACAATCATTGCCTGTAATGATACTGTTTATTTCTCTTTGAGTTTGATATTAATAACCAGTTTTCGAATAAGCAAAACTTCATTTATATTTTATTCGAAACTGAATATGAATCAAAGTATCAAAATAGATCGAACCATGCATCTTAAACAGTCTCACACAAAGTTGGTTTAATCTTCTTTTATTTGCATCCGAAGGAAAGGACGTATCTAAAGTGACATTTTACACATCTCTTTACACAGCCTTCACAGGAAGTCTTACAGCATGGATTGTACCCATATGAGTTTTTTTTTTGACTCATTTCTTTGAAGGAAACTTACAATATGGGAAACTAACACTAAGAGCATCTCGATTAAATCCTCAAATCCTTCAAACTGATCTCAAACTTACAAACCTTAAGGTTTTAAATTCCTAAACATTATTCAAAACACTATTTTACTTTTCATTTTACTCTATAATTATGTAACTTATATAAAATTCTATCAATAGTAGTTATTTATCAATTTAATCCTTATAATTCTATTTCATTCAATACTCAAATATATATAATATTAAAACATAAAAATTATAAATATCTTAAAATTAAAATAAGAATTACTAATATAAAATAATATTATGTAAACTATAAATATTATGTATATGGAACTCGACAATTTCGTAACTCTTTGATGTATTTTCTTTTAAAATTAACAATATGTTCAATTGATAAAGCAAAAATATTGTGTTTTGCATTTTAGTGTATTTTATTTATTTATTCATAAAAGTTAGCTCTTAGAATTAATTATTATTAAATTGAAGATTAAAATGTAAAATAAAAAAGTTGGAGTAAGCCTCCCTCAAATCTTTATATTGAAGATCAACCATCTTTAAAACGATGATTCTTGTTCGAGATGTTCTAAGAGGGTCAAATGACTTTTCTCATGACACCAGTTTAGAACCAATTAAAATCACAGCTATAACTTAACATTTACACCCCACAAAAAACTGTGACTATAATTTGATGAACTTATGTGCATTGCCATTATTGTGAACGACTAGATAGGTAACAAAATATTGATAAATGTGACTTTGAGTCAACAATATGTGGTTTTGAACGAGAAAATGTCATTTATGTGGGCTGATTGAAACTCAAAAGATTTGTCTGCTTCAAATTTGGTTTTGGCACTTAGATTTTGAGAGATTTTAATTCTATTGTATTTGATCTTCGAAACAAGAATATAAATTTCAGATATTTCAGGTTGAGAATAGATTGTTGGAGATTAAAAGTTGATGGGTAACTAAAGAGGGTGGCGGAGGCAGATGCTGGAAGAGAAAAAAAACAAAGATGAGGCAGGCGACGAATGTGAACGTGTGTAACACACATGACAAGCACAATAATATTAAGTTTTACAGACTGTATTTAGTATTAATACAATTATTTTGAGGATTAAAACATAGTATTGGTTTGAGAATACTATTTTACTAGGGAAAACAGAGATTAACTAAAAAGTCAATAGCTTTCCACTTTCCAGAGAGCAAAATATACACCCAGCAATATGATCATTTCCAAATTTTGAGTTCACTAACCCTGAGAAATTAATATATAAGCATCAAACAAGAATGAGAAAGATCGTGAAGGCCTGCAATGATCATCAAATTCTACCAAAAAACAGATTCTTTTATTTTTTTGGTTAAAGGATACATATTAATATTTGCAAATGGGTATTATCTAATTTGTCAGTGGAATTTTTCAAAAGTCCCTCCAGTTATATCTATAAAATGCCTGGGAATTTCTCATAGTTCTTCATCCCTAAACTCGGCTTCATACTCAACAAAGAAGAGAGACAACAATGGCGCTCAAGAACGTACTTGCCCTTGTGGTTCTTCTTGGCGTTGTTGGAGTTTCCTTTGTAAAGGCATATGATAACTCAGAAAGTAACCCAGAAAGGTATAACCCAGGTACGACCGGTAATCTTTACAACGACTACTATGGCAACAAGTGTACAAATGTGGAAGAAATTGTCCGCAATGTCACATATCAATATGTCTCTGCCAATCCAACTCTTGCTGCTGCGCTTCTGAGGATGCATTTTCACGACTGCTTTGTCAGAGTAAGTTAATGACATGTAGTGGACTGTGGACAGACTCACATTCTTTATATGGTAGTGTTTGTTTCCTCATAAATTATATATATAAGAGACCGCCCTAACGCTTTCTTCCTTTTTATTCATGTGCATTAATCAAATTAGGGATGCGATGGTTCGGTTCTTATTAAATCACCAAACAATGATGCGGAAAGAGACGCTGTCCCCAACTTGACATTGAGAGGCTACGAAGTGGTCGAAGCTGCCAAGGCAGCGCTCGAGATTGCATGTCCTGGTGTTGTTTCTTGCGCTGATGTTCTTGCCTTGGTCGCTAGAGACGCTGTTTTCTATGTAAGATTTTGCACTCTACTTGATATTCTCCTTCCAAAACCTTTTAACGTTGTTGTACGTGTTTGTTTCCTTTTTTAAAAGATAGATGGACCATGGTGGCCTGTTCCATTGGGGCGGAGGGATGGACGCATCTCGAATATTTCCGATGCTAATAGTTTACCATCTCCTTTTGCCAACGTAGAGACACTCAAGAAGAACTTTGCCGACAAGGGTCTTAACACTAAAGACCTAGTCGTCCTCTCAGGTATTTCGAATGCAAATCTTTAGGGTTCTGAAGGATTGATAAACTAACTCTATAAATGATTTTTTAATTAGGGGCTCACACCATTGGTGTATCTTCTTGCGCTCTTATCAACAGACGTATCTATAACTTCACGGGCAAAGGCGACTTTGACCCAGCAATGGACCCTAACTACGTTAAAATATTGAAGGAAAGGTGTCCGCCAACAGATTTTACGACCAGCGTGGATATGGACCCAACGAGTGCCGATAAATTTGACTCTCACTACTTTGACGCTGTGTATCAGAATAAGGGTTTGTTCATTTCTGATTCAACACTCCTGAAAGACTCGTACACCAAATTCTACATTCTGCAGCAGGCTGTGTTAAATCTGAATACCTTCAACGACGATTTCTTGGACTCAATGGTTAAACTCGGTTTTGTCGGGATTCTTACCGGGGATCAGGGTGAGATCAGGAACAAATGCGATCGCATTAACTAATTTGGATTGGTTCTCCTCTCTGATTATTGAAACCCTAACGCTTTCTGCTTATGATGTTATTTTATTTCTTCATTTAAGTACTTTTTGGATGGAAGTTATTTGTGTTTGAATCAATGGTCCGAGATTTTTCTGATGATTGATGTTCTAAAACGCTATATGTTTGTTTTGTTCTTTATTTCTTTCATCAAGTCGTTTTTCCACGGACGTTTTTTGTCATTGAATTTGGGAATAATTCATGTATTTCTTCCTTTCATTGTCGATTATGAGTAACAAATAATATTTTATGTGAAAATGTCTATTTCTCTTTGAGTTGATTTTTTTTTTTTATTGAGTTGATATTAATAACCAGATAATTAAAAGCAATACTAGAAATACACTTTTATTAGAAACTGAATTTGAATCAAAATAGAGCCAAACCGCGTGTCGTAAACAGTGTTAACACAGTGATTTTAACTTTTTATTTATATTGGAATATAAGGACTTAACTCAAGTGATAATTTACACAGAATTCATAAGAGAAAGATTTGGAACCATGGGAAACTCATAAGGAAAGATCCTTGGCTTGCCTAACAGGGAAAATGGCTGTTCTCATGACACTTGTTTAGAACAAACCTGATGGAGGGAAAATGTAATCTTTGGCTAAATCAGATTTAATATTTGTAATCTTTGGCTAAAAGATTTGATATTTGTTACAAAAAAATGATTTGATATGATAATATCAATGAGAAAAAGTAGGAATGTTGCAGGGACTCTCCACTATCTTTTCTAATTTTGTTGGTGGTTGAGTATAAAATTTTCACAGAAACAAGAACTCAAAATCATGCAACCACTAAGAAAAATTCAAATCCTCTTTCGCTCTTTTAAAAGCTATTGACTTTGGCTAACATGTAGTTAGGAGGAGTTATTTTATTGTCCGTAGCTCTCGGAGTTGAAAAAAATACTTATTGTATGTGGAATCCACGTTCTTATAATATTTTAGAAAATCATCCAAGTTGCTAAATTTAGTAATTGGAAACTCATATGGCTTAATGTAGCACTCTCTTGTGGGACAAGTAACAACTTAAAGACAATATCCAGAATCTTTTTTGACTAAACTATATTCTGAATAACAAGTAACAATCTAAAGACTATGGATCCTTTCCGTCCGGCCCATCTAGGAAGCATAAAACAAAATTAACCACGATTTTCTTAATTTATTTCAAAAACATTTTTTCCAACAAAAAAATTAGCTGAATTCCAGAAATGCTCTACCAATTTGATTAACCAGAATGATGCTGTAAGGGAAAAAAAGAGATATAAAACCAAACCATGATGGTTTCTTCAGATAGTTGTTTGGATAAATCAATAGCCTCAACTTTCTTGTTGTGATTGGTTAAGAAAATAGACAATTACCACACTAAAAAGTTAATATAGCATAACACCAAAAATGTAAACATGTTCACACGATGAGCAAACATCGATAGCCTCAATTAATAATTCATACGATCTATTATATTCGTCATGATCGATTCCCACATCTATTTACGTTTCATTTTTTTCTGCCCTGACCTTATATAACAGTTTTTGCATATGTATATGTAGTATTCTCTCTGTTCCTAAATAATTCATTTTCTAGATTTTTCACAAATTTTAAGAAAACTCATTTAATTTTGATTGTAAATACATTGATTTTTATGAATAACAATTTTCTATTTAACCAATAGAAACACCATTAACTTTTTTGAAATTTACAATTTTTCATTAAATCATTTATTGAAAAGGTAAAAAATACATATTTTTGGAACAAATTTTTTTCTCTATAATATACATTTTTTAGGAACGGAGAGAGTAATTCTTTTGAATTGAACTTTTATGAAACTACCAGGAAAAAAAAACTCAAATGTTAGGCATTGAATTATTAGTTTTGTTAGTAGGAGAGTACGTAAGGAAGAGGAGGTTAAGAGCATCATTATCCTAACAACTTATAATGAGTTGCTTAATTATATTATAATAGTATTTAAAGAGTTATTTTTAGTAAGAGACATATGTAAGCACTTTGATACTTTTCCTCCTCCATTGCAAAGCTCTTATTCTAGGGTTCTTAATTCTCATCAACATTACTCTCAAAAATGTTTTGAGCTGACTACACAAGACATGACACAATACTCAGAACATACATGACACAATCAATACTCAGAACATCAACGACACAAGAAACACAAAGAACCATACATTAACTCAAGCTTTAGTCACTACTATATCGTCGCTATGAGGAACATTATGCGATATCTCATGTCCAGTTTGAGCCAAAGAAACAAGCTACAACCGTTGGAAAAACAACAAATATATTACATTTCAGAAAAAGTCTTGTCTGGCTCAAAAATAACTCACCATCGCTAACCCAAGCACAACTGGACCCTGGTGGATATCACCTTTCTCCAGATGCTCTCCACACTGAGACAGAAGGTCTTGGACTGAGACAGAAGGTCTTGGACCTGAACAAGTACAAGGATCACTGAGGATGGACTTAAGAGACTAGTTTACACAAAAATTAATAGCAAGAAACATCAGTCTACAGTCTCCTGCTTAAGCTTCTGCTATTCATAAAACACCTCAGGCTTCAACTAAAACAAAGCACCAACACTAAAACGGTGAGAGAACCATCAGTGATCACTTCACTCTATAAGAACCCATGAACATGTAAATTGGGAAAACCAAGCTCAAACACAAGGAGCTTCCTCATCTCCAAAAGTCAAAACAGAAACTCCCTCCCTCCATCAGCTCTTAATGTAACAAAGGCGAGAGCTGTACGTGCTTTGTGGTCGAATCTCATCCCATAGTTGTCCACGTTGTTCAGCCTTAGAATCTCAGCTAACATTTTTCCTAAAATTTTGAAAACTAAGATTAGAGTTTAAATAACAAGAGAGCCATTTGACTGATTAATTAATCATCAAACCTTTCCCACGAAAACAGAGGATCCACCTAGACTAGAGACACCAACAGCTACATTAGCAGGTGCACCTCCTGGAGCTTTCTTTAAAACTGTTCGCGTTTACAAATTCGTTTTCATCATATAGAACAAGGCAAGAACAGAGATCTATAGAAGCAAAACCCAAGAAGAGATATCATCAAAGATCTAAACTTTATGAACAAACAATCAAACCCAGAAACTTAAATTCCATTAAAACTGAAAACCCAATTCAATGAAGCTTGGTAAGATCAATCGAGGGCGTCGGAACAAGAACAGAGAAGTGATGCATCGAGGCTTCGGTGACCAGACTGATTCTCTAAGCTTCTCACTCCACCCTTCACGCAGCGACTACTGAATGTACCAGTTTTGAAATTCAGAGAAAACGGAGACGATGGTGATGATAACGACGATGAGAGATAGTAGGAGACTTCTATGTGTGACACCTGTCCCATAAGCAACGTAGCTTCCTTCTCCTAATTAAACAACGTTGCTTCCATAAATATGTAATTTTCATTTTTTTTTAATTACAATTATCTTAAGCAACTCACTTAAGCTACGGCGATAATGATGCTCTAAGTGCGAGAGAGGCATGAGAGCAGTAAATGGGCTAAAGCCATGCAGCCTCTGTGTTAACATTTAATGCCAAGAAACTACTCGCCACCCTATCATATATCTACACTCCATCTATATACGCGTGATACAAATACGAGATTAACTTTTAATATTGGTAATTTATATAAACTCGTTAACGATTAAAAGAGTGTAATAGCTTACGGAACAATAAAGTAATTACGCAGTATCTTCATATATCTTCGAGTGATAAAGAACGTAACTACATATAAATGCATGAGTTAACTTAAAATTATAATTATAAATTGGTCTTTCTCAAACGATAATTTATGTAAATTAGCACTTTTTAATGGGTCCGGTCATCTGTATTTAAAGAGCATACTGCACGCTTTAGTATAAGTTGTATAATTAGTGCTCCAAAAAAATAGCATAAGTATACGAGAAAATATAAGTTATTTAATTTAACTTATGTCTGCTAAATAAGTATGTAATTATCACGTATTTATATCTAGAATTTAGAAGTCCTAAAATTATTAATTAAATAAGAAATTCAGATTGTAACATTATCTATCTCCGTTCGATCGCTCTCTCTCTCTCTCTCTAAAAGCGTGTAGGATAATTAAGTGTCCCTCTCTCACCATTTAATTTCATCGCACCCTCTCAATACTCTCTGCCATTACTTCTCTCTCATTTTCCTCTCTCTCTCTATCTCTAGGATTTGTACCTACCTTTCAAACTCTTCTCCAAAACCGTTTCACTAAATCATCACTGGTTTTCCGACAAACTAATATCAGACCAGCCACCGATTCACTCCTCTCTCTCTCTCCCTCTAGGATTTCTTCGCGAAGTGTATGTTTCGATCACCTCATCATTTTTTTTTTTTTGTGCACACACCTCATCATTTCTTATTTTTATTTCGATTCACCTCATCATTTCTCGGATGATATCTAGTTTATCATAATATTTGAATATATATATTTTAATTTGTCTGATTGGATCATTCCACTTAAGTTTATTAGCCTCTTCAGAAGACTCTCATGTTCATGATGATTTTATAATCAATCAAATATATCGTGTCTGTCTTGAATGTTTTTTTGGGGTAAAATGTTAAGATAAAGGAAAATTAATGGTGCTGCCCAGGAACGAAGTGTTGAATGTTTTGGTTATTTTCCGTCTTTTCTCTAACATTATTATTTAAAAAAAAAAGATAAAATACTTCCAGTATTATTGCAGTTCCTCTCTTGTGTTGTTTTTTTTTGTTAAATGCATATTTTGTTTCAGATTTTCTAATAGTTGTTTATTTTTAATTTTTAGTTGATTTCTGCATATTTCTGAACACAACATTAAAGAGGAAGAAGGTTTGTATTCTCTTTGTATATTCTTCTTATACCATACATTTGTTTTCATATATAAAACGTGTATATACATCGTGTGCATAAATAAATTTCTCACTTTTGTGTAAAATAAAAACGTCCTACATAAATGATGACGATACTAGAAAAAAGTTGGAGAAATTTAATATATCACCCAGGCCTTATGTCACGTTGGTTGTACGCTGTACAATAACTTCTATGTTGGTCCGTTGCACCGTGCACAGACATAATAATATTTTTCATTTCAAGTTCTAAAAATTTGATAATTCACACTTTTCAGGGAGAGTGTTCCTTATTTAAAACCTGCTAATGATTTAAAATATATTAGCTAGCAAATGAGTCCAAAATTTCTCTTTCGTCTTCTCTTTCCTCTTTACTAAATCAAATATTTTATTAGAAAAATGAAATTTAAATGGTTTATCCTAAATCAAATATGACAAATCATTATACATCAAAATTACTGTTTGATTCATGTTCATCTACACTACATATAATCCTCGAGTCACCTTAACTTCTGGTTAGTTTTTTCTATAAGGCAAAAAAATTGGGAGGTTTGAAGGATGTGGAATTTCTGAAATTGATTATTTTTGGTTGGTTATTTAATAGCATATTAATATATGAGTGTGATGTTTTTTTCTTCTTCTTAAAGGCTCTTCTTCCTTTTGCTTTCAATTAGTGGGTCCTTTGTTTCCTACAAGCATCTGCAATTTCTTCGTTTTCCAATTTGCCTATATCCTTTTGTAACATCTTCAAGAGAAAGGTAGAAAACTCAAAAAAAAAAAACTATAGTTGTTGACGTGGAGAAAGTATTGCCATACGTTTTTCACAATCTTGGTGAAATTTCTCTCCTTCTTGACTTGACTCGTACCTAAGAAGAAACCCTAGTTATTTTGACATCTCACAAAACTTTCTACTCTTTTTGTTTTATGGTTTGCTTTCAGTTTCCAGCATAAGAAGCAAGATGTTCGAGCCTAATATGTTGCTTGCGGCTATGAACCACGAAGATAGCAACAATCACAACTATAATCATGAAGACAACAACAATAACAATGAAGAGTTTCTTCGGGATGATGAATTCGACAGTACTAAATCGGGAAGTGATAATCAAGAAGGAGGATCAGGAAACGATCAAGATCCTCATCATCCTAATAAGAAGAAACGATATCATAGACACACACAACTTCAGATCCAAGAGATGGAAGCGTATATATGAATATCATTCACTCATAAATTTCATGTTTACTTAATCTAATTGTTTTTTTTTTCATTTTCACAAAGTAATTTAATATAAATATTTGGTGGTTATTAGATTCTTCAAAGAGTGTCCTCACCCGGATGACAAGCAAAGGAAACAACTTAGCCATGAATTGGGTCTGGAACCTCTTCAGGTCAAGTTCTGGTTCCAGAACAAACGCACCCAAATGAAGGTATATATATATACTCTTATGACCACATTCATTTCTGGATATATATCAGAGGAATATTATGTATATTTACTGAAATTGGTTATGTCTATGCACACTCATTTTAGCATATAATTAGGGAATTTATGATATATAATATAGGCTTGATTAACGAATGAGAAAATCTTTGGTGGTTGATTTAGAAGTTACTACATTGATTTGATTCTGGTAGAAATTTGGCAGATTTAAAATGTAGCTAGTTGAAACTATTGACTTTTATATACTTTTGCTCAAGTTACTTTTTTCATTTGAAAAGTTTTCCTTTAGCCAAAATATATCCTTGGCGTATGCAGCCATTGTTCTTTAGTCAAAAAGACTTGCCCATTTAATAACTAAGTTAGAAACATAATTCATAAATTGGAACGTTTTGGACTCATGTGCTCACGTTATGCATATATGGGGAAACACATAACGTGTACACAAGCGTATTGTGTATGTATAATACCTATACTTTTCCTCTTTTAGTAAATATCCTTTGTTGCTTCGTTTTACTCTAATTAGAAACTATAGTATTCTAGTTTATTTATATAATAATTAACAGCAACGAAGCAAACGAAAAAACAATTAATTATATAAAAATTATCATGAAGACAACATAAAAATAAATTTATCCGCGCATGCAGAATCACCACGAGCGACACGAGAACTCGCATCTTCGGGCGGAAAACGAAAAGCTTCGAGCAGACAACCTTAGATATCGAGAAGCTCTTGCAAATGCTTCATGTCCTAATTGTGGTGGTCCAACGGCTATTGGAGAAATGTCCTTCGACGAACACCAACTCCGTATTGAAAATGCTCGATTAAGAGAAGAGGTATGTGAATTAATTTTCTAACAAAAATAATTAATTGATCAACTCCATATCTATAGATAATAAAACTTTAATTCTACTTAGAGCAAAATAAGAACTAAAGCATTTCCTTTTCAAGAAAAGTTTTAAACATGTATTTATGTGGAAAATAATTTTTTTAAACATGCTAATAACAAAAATTAAATTTAAACTTCTTGTTTTGTCATCAAGATCGATAGAATATCAGCCATAGCAGCCAAATACGTAGGCAAGCCAGTCTCAAACTATCCACTCATGTCTCCTCCTCCTCTTCCACAACGTCCTCTAGAACTCGCCATGGGAAATTTTGGAGGAGATGTTTATGGAAACAACCCAACCGATCAGTTCAAGTCCATCACTGCACCAACAGAATCTGATAAACCAGTGATCATAGACTTAGCCGTGGCTGCAATGGAAGAGCTCATGAGGATGGTTCAAGCGGACGAGCCTTTGTGGAATAGTTTGGTTTTAGACGAAGAAGAATATGCACGTACGTTTCCTAGAGGAATAGGACCTAAACCGGTTGGATTTAGATCCGAAGCCTCACGAGAAAGCGTGGTTGTGATCATGAATCATATAAACATTGTCGAGATTCTCATGGATGTGGTAATATAAAACTACATTTAACATATTATAACCAATAAGAGTTTATAACGTTGATATTGTAATGCAGAATCAATGGTCGATTGTTTTTGCGGGGATGGTTTCTAGAGCGATGACATTAGCTGTTTTATCGACTGGAGTTGCAGGAAACTATAATGGAGCTCTTCAAGTGGTAAATGTTTTTGTCTTAACTCGCTTGTAGTAATGCAAACCTAAAACTGAACAAAGACTTGGAACTCAAGTAACCACTCTGTTTTGTCTTAACTCACTTATAGTAATGTAAACCCTAAAACTGAACAAAGACTTGGAATTCAAGTAACCACTCTTTTTTGCCAGATGACTGCAGAGTTTCAAGTTCCAACACCGTTAGTACCGACCAGGGAAACCTATTTCGCACGTTACTGTAAACAACAAGCAGATGGTTCATGGGCAGTTGTGGATATTTCCTTGGATAGTCTCCAGCCTAATCCCCCGGTTAGATGCAGGCGACGAGCTTCAGGATGTTTGATTCAAGAAATGCCTAATGGATACTCCAAGGTGACTTGGGTGGAACATGTGGAAGTTGATGACAGAGGAGTTCATGACTTATATAAACACATGGTTAGTACTGGTCATGCCTTTGGTGCTAAGCGTTGGGTAGCTATTCTTGACCGTCAATGCGAGCGGTTAGCTAGCGTCATGGCTACAAACATTTCATCAGGAGAAGTTGGCGGTATAAACCTATTTCTTGTTTCACAAGTAATCTCTCTGAATCAGTTTAGAAGCAGAGTTACAGTGTACTATATTGATGAATGTGCAGTGATAACTAACCAAGAAGGGAGGAGGAGTATGCTGAAACTGGCGGAGAGGATGGTTATAAGCTTTTGTGCAGGAGTGAGTGCTTCAACTGCTCACACATGGACTACATTGTCTGGTACAGGAGCTGAAGATGTTAGAGTGATGACTAGAAAGAGTGTGGATGATCCAGGAAGGCCTCCTGGTATTGTTCTTAGTGCAGCTACTTCATTTGGGATCCCTGTTCCTCCAAAGAGAGTTTTTGACTTCCTCAGAGATGAGAATTCAAGAAATGAGGTAAACCTTTTAGTTACTACTACTAACAACTTTTTTATTTTCTGGAATATAGTTTTAGTGAATCTTGTGTGAGACTTTACAGTGGGATATTCTGTCAAATGGAGGAGTTGTGCAAGAGATGGCACATATTGCTAATGGGAGAGATACAGGAAACTGTGTTTCACTCCTTAGAGTAAATGTGAGTTAGATATGTAAAACTTTTGTTATAACTCATATGATCAAGGCTAATGATTTTGAATCTTTCTTTTATGTCATAGAGTGCAAACTCTAGCCAGAGCAACATGCTGATTCTACAAGAGAGTTGCACTGATCCTACAGCTTCATATGTGATCTATGCACCAGTGGATATTGTAGCGATGAACATAGTGCTTAATGGAGGTGATCCGGACTATGTGGCTCTTCTTCCATCAGGTTTTGCTATTCTTCCTGATGGTAATGCCAATGGTGGTGGAGAAGGAGGGTCGTTGTTAACGGTTGCTTTCCAGATTCTGGTTGACTCGGTTCCAACGGCTAAGCTGTCTCTTGGTTCGGTTGCAACAGTTAACAACTTGATTGCTTGCACTGTTGATAGGATCAAAGCTTCTATGTCTTGTGAGACTGCTTGAAAACGAGCGAACCTCACAAGAGAGTTTTTTTGGTGTTGAAAGGGGGAGGAGTCAAGAGCGAACCTTACAAGATAGATACCATAGAGTAAAGGTTATGTGTTGTAGTGTTAAGTTTTGATCTGCTTATTTGTTGAAACTATAAGCAGTGAAAAAACTTTTTACTTGAAAGTGAGAATGCAAAATGGTGTAAAGAGGTTCGGGAATTGACTTCCCCTGCAACATACTTGTTTCACAGTTATGTTTCTTCTTTCTAAAGCTTGTGTTTAGATGGACCTTAATCAAGAAGTTGAAGTTTGTATTCTTTTAATTTGTTTATATATGAAGTATTTACTGCTGCTCCATCACTTTTTGATTTTGCTTTGTAAGCTTACTGAAGTTGGTTTATCAGAAAGTTCAGACTTTAGGTTAACCTTAGGTTATGGTTTCAGCTTAAACCTCCCCCAAAGATAGAAGAATCTGATACCTATCAAAGGAACACTATCATGAATTGTTTGTGAGAGTACATTAGCTTTGACAGAACTCCAAAATATCAAATACAATCTGATAAAGTAAAGCGAAAAAAAGAGAGACTTATCAAATGAGAAAAAACACCCTCAAGTAATCTGAAGAACAACGTGTTAGAAAACCTTACCTTCCCCAAGCTCAGCAGCCTAAAGAGATACAACAAACAAAGCACATATATTCAAAAGATGGAATTGTTTTTAATTACTGGTTTACTTATAAACGAACTAACAAACCGGAAAGAGATATCCGGTTCAGTCAAGTCGTATTTCTCTCCGGTTTAGTCAAGTGAGTTATTTGATTTCAATTTTTCTCAAGAGCAGCTGAGGAAAGAAAGAGTAAAGAGAAAGGATGAGCGAGACGAGACCAGTGCCGAGGAGAGAGAGTCCATGGGGTTTACCTGAAGGTCACCGTGAGCCCAAAGCTCACCGCTGCAACGATCGTGTCGAAGACGTCGTCCAGGTTCTCTCCCACCTTTTCCTCTGTTTCCTCTGTTTAAAGTTTCGATTTTTATCATTCTTCTGTCTCGATAAGCCTTGGGTTGATGAGTAGAGTAATCAAAGTTTAGGGTTTTTCTAGGGTTTACTTATCTTAATTCAATCGATCAAGGAACGAGCAATGGTGGATGATTTGGTCAATGAGATTTAAATGATGAAAGATGAGAACTTTCGATCAAATTCTGTTTTTTTATGGATCTGTGTACTTTCAGCTTTGTCTGTTAAAAGCTTGTAGCAGCTATATTGGCATTGTTGTGATCTTTTACTGCAATAAAGGAGTTCAAATTGCTTTCAAATTATCGTATATGTTATATAGCATTGGTACATTTTTTTGGGCAGGCGTTTTTTGAGGGAAACCCGTTCAAGACGGTTCCAGGACCGTTTAAACTATTCTACCGATGCATGCGCTCTAAGCCAGGGTATGTGTGCAATCTCTTACTCTCTTACCATGTGATAACTGTTGTTGTTGATTATATAGGATGCAGAATCATAAAGTGTTTACCTTTAAGCCTTGATGTTTTCTGGTCACGCTTATTCATTAAGCTCTGAAGTAACCATTCATCTTGTTTATTTTTTAGAGAGGAGCCAACAGAGCCATTCACATACCTTGACCTGGAACCTCTAAAGAGAGAAGTAAAACTTGAGGATAAGTGAAGTCCACCTCCTTCTCCTTTTTTTATTCCTTGTGAACTTTTAAACTGAGCATGTAAGCGACAAGACTGTGATTTTTAAATTTCCCTTCAACATGTATCAGCAACATCTTGTTTTGTCGCCAATAAGATCAGAAAAAGATTTACAATATTTATCTCTTGTTTTTGGTTCCTTGAACTTAGTTTTTACAAAATTCTTATGATAGTTTTATCTACCCCCTAAGTATGTTAACAGTCCTTTTTAATGAATTGCTGAACTCTGTATCTATTTTAAGGAATGTCAGTACGTTGTGAATGTGAACTCCCAGCTCCACTTTGGCTACTCTTGAGTCTCTTGATACTCTTCTGTTTCAGCATCTCCTTGATCTCTGCCTCCTTCGTATCCACAACTTTGATCAATTCCTTGAAACTTGGTGCTCGTAAACCTCTCCCTGATCGAGGTGTCTCAGTCACATCACACGCCCTTTCCTCATCCCCACTATCTGGCAATAACCCCTGGTACTGCCAGAAAACCCTCCAGAAGAAGATAGTAAGCGCCACAAAGCAAGTGATGCCACAGATAAGAAAGAGTCCCCAGAAACTCTTGAGCGAAAGCTGAGAGTTCTCGCCGTTTGAGATCTGCATTGAACATTCATGCTTGTAGTTAAGCCATTTCCTGTGTATCTTCTCAAGCTCCCCTTCTTCAGAGAGCTGCAAGATAGCCGTTGACATGTCCACTGCTAAAGGAGAGTCTCTCTGGAATGCCTGCAACGTCAGATTTCAGAGATTAGACAAGAAAGCAAACAACATATACACACAAGTAAGTTACATACGAAACCCCAGCCTGTGCGTGTGAACTCTTGTCCTACTGTACGGTACTTGCAGTTACTATTTGTCAAAAGGACTTCGATGTAAGGAAGCTCGTCTACAATGGCTGCAACACCTCCACCTTTGGGACCAAGTTGAAGAGCAGAAAGGTAGTGTTCTTCATCTCTTAGTGGAACAATCCTATGAGGAGCTATGTTAAGTTCGTTGACTAGATAGTTTCTAGCGAAAGTACCGTCTTGAACACCAATTGGTTCGTTGCTTGCTATCAAGCTATCTATTCCTTGAATCCGAGATGTGAGCTGTTGAACGGTTAGGATTGAAGTGAGACTAGCTGTGTAGCTTGAGTTGATGATCAGAACCACGAATAACCATATGATTAACACCATTCTCCCTAATGAGCTCACTGTGTTCTCCCCTGAAAAGATCAAAAAGAAAAGTAAGTTTCAGTGTTGAATCCACTGATCCTTTTGCTAGTGTATACTTACTATGAGAGAAGAACATGGTGGAGAAGCTAAACCAGAAAATGGTGATGAGTTGACGCCTAGGAGGACCTCTAAACTCATGGTTGAATCTGTGTTCAAGAATCCATACGATGGCGCCCACAAAGAGAAAGAAGGCTCCAGTGACAGCCCACATCTCTATAGTGAATGGTTTCAGGAATGACCAAGGACTAGACTTAGCCACCTTAACCGGAGCCACCACCACAAGCCCTGATTCTATAAACGGCTGTGTGAAATCCACAAACCTTGTCCTGTTGGTAGTAATGGTAATATCTCCTACAGCTACATCAAAGTTCTGCAGAGAAAACAAGATAAGTTAAACATCTTTTGAAAGTTTGATATTAAAGTAATATAGCTACTACTTACATCTACAACAACTTCATTGATAAGATTGTTGTAAGAAGGATTCTTCTTCCCATCTCCATATAGTACATAGTTTCTTGGAACAGGATAGGGAAGCAACTCTAACGCAGCTTCAAAGACATCAATACAATAGCCTCTAACACCAGGAGGATTCTTGTCTTTAGAGACGTAATCTTTATAGCTCACACGGTTAGGCACTGCTATTTTCAGCGGCTTTCCGTTATTAGGAAACACCCAACCACGAGGAAGCTTAGTCACTTCACCTGGCCATATGATTCCATAAAGACGTTGGTTCGCTATTGATGTGTTTGGAGGCTTAGAGTATAATGTTTCTGGAGTCACCACTGAGAGACCTGAATGGTTTGACCAGTAACCAACTCTCCGTGGACCTGAGCCTTCTATGTTAAGGACTTCATAAGCCGGGTTAACCCGGTTTCTCTCTGAATCAAACTGGATTCGTCCGGATACACCAGTATGATTCATCCCAAGAATGATCTTTAGAAGCTTTTCTCCTTCGTTGAACACACTTAGTGCTGATAACTGAATACTGCTATCACTTTTTTTGTGCAGACTCTGATCGCTGGAGAATGTTATGTTATTGTTTTCTCTGAAGAAAACATCGAGTGCACGAGCTATTAACCAAACAGAATCATAAGCATACAATGCATAAGAGTTGAAACCATTCTTCCATCTCTCCTTAAACCGTCTCTTCATAGTACTCTCGGTTGTGTAATGACGAAAAGCAACCACTCCTTGCAAGAGATCCATGGTGTCTGAACCCACAGGAGCCATGGAATCCAAAGCTGTAGGAAGCCAGTCCGTTGCAATCCAAACATAACCGTTCCCCATCATTCCAAGAGACTTAGCCACCGAGAAAACGTTCAAACCAGAGTCAGGATTCACATGGACAACGTAAACTCTAGAAGCCATCAGATTAACAGAGACCAAAAGGCTTTCTATGGAGGTGGAGTCTGCACCGGGTGTGATTGCTGCTTTGTAAGAGATCTTGGAGCGTTTCTTGGCTAATGCATCGCTTAGAATAGATATCCCGTTTCTACCGTACTCATCATCAACGTATATGGCAATGACTTGTCTCCATCCGGAGTGGGATATGAAGTCTGTGATGGCATTCTTTTGGAAGTAATCGTTTTGTGTGGTGCGGAGGAAGTAAGGGTATTGTAGAGAGGAAAGAGTTGGATCTGTTGCTGCAAATGACAAGAGTGGTACGTGAAGCTCGTTAGCTACGTAGGAGATCATGTGAGCAATCCCTGAAGATTGTGGACCAATGGCTGCAACCACTTGTGTTTCCATCAGCTGCAAAGCTACACCATACAAGAAACATGATTATTTGGAAACTAGTTTTAAGAGAGGAGAAGAAGCATTTTTTTACCTCCCATGGTGCCAATAAATCCACTGCAGTTAGAGTCTTGAAAGATAATATTAAGCTTAGTACCCTTAAGTACGGTTTGGTCTGCATTAATATCATCCATTGCGGCTTTAAAGGCTGGTTTAGCTGCTCTTCCGATGAAAGAATCATAAGTAAATAGAGCTCCAACGTTTACAGAGCTTGGCCTCTGCATTAATGGTGGTGAAGTAGAAGAAGACGAGTTTCTTGAGAGAGCATTTTTACCAGCACATTCCTGTGGAATGACCAACAAGACAGAAAGACATAACAACACAACTCCTATTGCTTTCACCATGGAAACTTCTCTTATCATCATGAAAAGCACTGAGTTTTTCTTCCCCTGGGCTTATGTAACCATTTGAGTATTTGAAATGACACCTGGAGCATGAATCAAAATCAAGATTTTACAACCAAAAAAGAAAAAGACAAGAAATGGTTCAGAGAATCTAGTGAAAGAAGGCAAACAAACCAAGAAATCAGGAGTTGGATTCTGTAGAGATTGGTGGATACACACACACACACTTGTGTCTGTATGAGGCCTTTGGATTCTGTAGTGCCAGGTGCTTACATGTGACTAGAACTGGAAAATAAAGAAGTGTGAGAGGGCCATCTTAAAGATGGTTTGCGAAAAGGGAAAAGCGTAATTAATTCATTGAACAGAGCGTCATATGGTGTTGGCAGTGATATGTCAACTAATTAAAGATTATTCTTCGCACAAACCAAATAATTAAGCATAAAGTAACTAATAATAGCGGTTACATTCCAACTTGAATAAAATTAAAAGATTTTAATTCTGCAGAACATGGCAGTGGCCAGTGAGTGACTGAAGAATGAATGATGTCAAAAGTACATCCATGTAAATATCTGAATTTAGACGGTTTTCTTTATTTTATTAAACTTAACTAAATTTGTATATGAAATATAATATTGAATTTTAAAATACTTGAAAGGATATTTTTCTGAAATCCTTGGACCAAAACTTGGGTGATAAATTCTCAAGTTGAAGTACTTTTTATTTTTTAACACACAAATTGAAGTACTTCTAACCAGCTGAAGTATAATTTCTACTTGTGAATATATTATCTGTAGAACAAAGATAAATGAATAATAAGGCTACTGTAATAAAGAAGAAGTAACCTTGGATTTGGAACAAGTGCGAGCGACAAGCTTGAATCAGAAATCGATATATTATTCTGGAGTAAACGAGTGAGTTAGCTCTGGAGCATGAAAAAGAGAGACACAAAGAAGAAGAAGAAAGTTTACAAAAAAAAAAAAAAAAAAGAAGAAGAAGAACTGTTTACTCAAGCTCAAGCAAAGAATAATCAAAATATTCTCTATTTTCTTGGTTCTTCTTTATTAATTGTGTTTTTGGTATCAATGACTTTTCTGAGTGGTCAGTGTAATAGACGTAGGACGAGATGTGGGGTATACTTTCATGTCTATTCACACAAAAAAAAAGAATCAAATTGTATTTTTATTTTCCTTTATCCCTTTTTCAAACTGATCCGTTCTTGTGTCAGGAGGACGTACGTGTTAAACCATGTTTCCATTTTGATATTAAGTACTTTGTTATTAGTTAACTTAACCCACATGGCAATAACTTTTCCACTGTGACAAGTGACAACCTAGTTGCTCGAAGCCTCGAAGGCAGCCTTGGTCAAACAAGGGTTCTGCTCAACGTATGTCAATTAGTTCCACACTTAACCAGATATATCTTCACCCATAAAGACTAAAGTAGTTATAGTATTCGTTTTGGACCCAGATTTTTCATGTTATAAAAGGTGCATGAAACACATGGAGTCGAATATTCGTTGTCTTTGTTATAAAGTTCATAAAGAGATATTATAAAAGTCGAGTTGCATTTGTAATTAGTTGAAATTATGAAATCTAGTTTGTTAATTGAACCCCCCAAACAGAACTTTTCTATTTTGAGATGACAAAAGGTATCTGGGCAAAAAGAAATCTAGACCAGTAGAATATATAGTTAGATTTTCCTACTTTTAATCGAATTTTCTCAAGTTGTTATTTGGATTTTTCAGTGTGAGGGGGCCCTTATCATCTTCTTCTATTTTCCATGTGTTTAATTGTCTAGTTAGAGTACAGCCACGTCTTCGTTTATCGACTTCAATTAATCGCATCCATCTCGATTGGGCTTAGCTGTTGCTAATGGGCCAAAATTACATAATGGCCTCCTAACAGTTAGATTGGGCCGTAAAAGCAATTATTTCGAAGATACTGTATACAGACGAATAGAACAGTAGATAAGTCCTTTTGGATAAACAATACTTCTCTCCATCCTCTCCTTCTTAGGAGTTAGGAGCATAGCTCCGTCATCAATCCCAGACAATGGCTTCCTCTGTCGTATCTTCTTTTCAACCCAGGTAATGCCCTGATGCCGACAATGATTTCTTCATTGCTTTCTTAATTCACAATCTATTCGTATGCACGATTTGTCGATTTGTAGACGTTTTTAGCTATGGAAATTTAAACTTTATAAGAATAATAAAAAAATAGAATTAAAGCTGCCTCAAACTATGAAAACAAACATATTTAATACGCAATATAACTGTCACGGCCATATTCAAATTTTGACATGATGAGATGTTGTGAATTTTGAATTAAACATGAGATATATTAGATTAAAAATCTACTATACCACTAGACCAAGGTCGTTTTCGCAAGTAATAGTTATTTAAAATCGAAGGTTGTATTATTATAAGTGATAATCATGACTTTGAATTAGTCTTTGAAGAAAAAGAAGCCAAGTTTTTTCCAGTCTCATTTCTAAAAAGGTCATTAGAAAACTGAACTTTCTTGGTCTCTTTCTATTTCATATTCCTGATTATGTTACACGAAATCATGTCACTATTCATGACTTCATTTTTTTTATTGCGTCACGAAATCATGTCGCTATTCATGACTTCATCATTCTGCATACGAACACTTTTCACCTTATACTCACGAGTAGAGAACTCTGACATGCATGTTTAAAGAAAAGTTTTATGTTCACAAGTGAAAATTAGTGAGAGATCAACAGGGATCATTATATTTGTGGCATTCCCACATTAATGACCACGTACTGGCGTTATTATATTTTCCTTTTGGGTAATTTCAAATCGTTGCATCTATAATCAATTCTCCCTATTAAAACCGGTCAGTTTTAGGTGTGAAGTGGGGTTCATCGTTCACCATTGTATTTATCATTTTCTTTCCATTACAAATGACTGACAACTCCACAAATATTTGTCCCCTTTAAATAAAAGTAATAATATTGTAGAATATTAGATTGGTTTATAGATCAATGTATACTACTTCTACTTGTACGTGTACTGTGTGCATTTGCCTAGTATGCATGTTGTTTGTTTAGCCGGAACAAACCCGTTATCCGAGTGTAAAATGTATAGGTACAATCGTATATCTTGATGTATAATGTAGAACGTTGTTTATTTCTAGTTTCAATTAAGCAAAAATTATACTAATAAAAATTCTATCTGACTTTACGTTTCGTTAAAACTGTAGTTATCAAACGCTTTAACATGACAATACATATATAGTATATGTCAGTTTGTAGTAATGTGGTTGTTATGTTGTGTTACCATTTAGATTTTACTATGATAGAATGGTTGTGAGATAAAAAAAAGAAGTAAATGCATGTTGTGAGAAAAAAAAGAAAGAAGAAGCTTTAGTTTCTCTAGCTAGTCGCATTAAATATTTTACTTATACAAATTAATGTTGACAATGAAGAAACTTTATGAAGTGGACCACGTATGTTTACACACCTATTCCCTAAATAAAAGGCAAATATGGTAAGCTCTTAACAACACATATGGAAGTTTGTGCATCACAGCTTCTTGTTTCTCATAATCACACCCTCTCTATCCCTCTCATAACAAGAAGAGGTTAAAATATGAATCAGGGTCGTCTTCTTTGTTTCATTGGTTTTATCTTCCTTGTTGTGTCATCTGAAGCTTCAAAAATTCACGTTGAAAGACGACGCTTCTTCTCCAGACCTTTATCTAGCCAAGAAAGAGGGTTTCTTTCTTCTCAACCCACCCTGCCGGTCACCGGTGTAGATGATGGGCCCAAATTCTAAATCTACAAAGAGCCCATTACCTTCTTCTGTCGGTCTAAAGACGTGGATGAAAAGGAAAATATGAGATATGACCTAACTCATATTAGGAATAGGACAAAAAGGTTACAAGTATAAATACACCAAAGACGAGGCCATTAGGATCATCCGATCAAAAGAGAAATCCGAGAGCAATACGAGGGATAGAGAGAGACCAAGAATATTAGCAATTAGAAAGAGTGTTTTATTGCTTTATCTTGTGATCTTTATTTTGTTCTTGTGAAAGATTATTCAAAGAGAATGAATAAATTAAAAAAAAAAAAAAAAAAAAAAAAAAAAAAAAATAAGAGATAAGTTTGGGTATCAAGTTTATTCCAAATTGTATAGCACAAAGTAGGTTTAAATCCTAACAAGTGGTATCAGAGCAATCCAGGTTTGATTGGAAGTGCTAGTTAGAATTATGGAACCAACTCGAGGAAAGTTTGAGATGGAGAAATTTGATGGCAAAGGTGACTTTGGGATGTGGAAGTTTAAGATGATGGGACAGCTGGAGATCCAAGGTCTACTTTCGGTTCTTAAGGAAGATTTTACGGTCTTGACAGAATCTGGAAAAGAAGTAGAAGGAACGGATCCAAAGGTTGATCAGAAGAAAGCTGATAAGGATCTGAGAGTAAGAAGTCTCTTGGGAGCGTGTTTGAGTGATTCTATTCTAAGAAAGATTATGCATGAAACAACTGCATTAGGTATGTGGAAGGCCCTCGAAAAGAATTATCAAACAAAGTCTCTTCCCAACAGAATCTACTTGAAGAAACAATTCTCTTGTTACAAGATGGAAGAGGACAAGACAATAGAAGAAAACGTAGATATCTTTCTGAAACTTATTGCAGACTTGGAGAGTCTCAAAGTTACAATATNAAGATTATGCATGAAACAACTGCATTAGGTATGTGGAAGGCCCTCGAAAAGAATTATCAAACAAAGTCTCTTCCCAACAGAATCTACTTGAAGAAACAATTCTCTTGTTACAAGATGGAAGAGGACAAGACAATAGAAGAAAACGTAGATATCTTTCTGAAACTTATTGCAGACTTGGAGAGTCTCAAAGTTACAATATCAGATGAAGATCAAGCAATTCAACTACTGTCGGGACTTCCAGAAGCGTATGAACAATTGGTTCACACACTCCAGTATGGAACTGGGAAAGAAACGCTTACCGTGAATGAAGTTGTAACTTCAGCTTATTCCAAAGAAGCGGAACTTAAGCAAAAAGGATTACTTAATAAAAGTAAACCAGCTTCTGAAGGATTGTATGTTGAGTCACGTGGAAGAACTCAGAAGAGGTCAGGGAATGGTAATAACTGGAAAGGGAGATCTAAAAGCAGAGGAAAGTTTCAGTCGAATCAGCAATCTGATGAGAACAACACGGGTTGTTTTATTTGTGGAAAAGAAGACCATTGGAAGCGGGAATGCCCTGAAAGAAGGAGACGTCAAAATTCTGCAAATTTTACAAGGGAGCAGCCTGTACAGCCATTAGTGTTGACTGTTAGCAATCGAGATACACGCAAGGAATGGATCATGGATTCAGGGTGTTCATTCCATAGTACACCTGACAAAGAAGTCTTATTTGATTTCAAGGAGTACGACGGGGGAAGTGTATTAATGGCTAATAACACTAGAGGTAGCATCAAAGGAACGGGGAAGATTCAGATTCAGAATCCAGATGGTTCTAAAGTGATACTCAAGGATGTTAAATACATGCCGGAAGTGAGTAGAAATCTGATTTCTTATGGGATGCTAGAAAAATCAGGTTGCAGGTACGTAGGACGCGGCTTCAAGGTTCAGTTCTACAAAGCTAAGAAGAAAGTAATCTCGGGAAAATACAAAGATGGGTTGTATTTTCTTCAAGGAACGGTTGTGAGGAATAAATTGGATACTCCAAAAGCTGAGAAGGAANCATGCCGGAAGTGAGTAGAAATCTGATTTCTTATGGGATGCTAGAAAAATCAGGTTGCAGGTACGTAGGACGCGGCTTCAAGGTTCAGTTCTACAAAGCTAAGAAGAAAGTAATCTCGGGAAAATACAAAGATGGGTTGTATTTTCTTCAAGGAACGGTTGTGAGGAATAAATTGGATACTCCAAAAGCTGAGAAGGAACCTAGACGAAAAGAAACTAAAAAGGGTGTCTTTCAGCGAGATT